CCTCACAGAATGTTTCTGCTGGGGTATACGGTCTTGGGAAATTATCTGTGATTACCATATTAGTGTCTGGTACAGGTGGCATTCTCTTGTGGTGGTATATGTACTGCACCATTTTTTCTAAAACATCTCCCTCTGGTGGGTAGTGGCCTCCTTCCTCTTCTTCTGCACCTTCCACTTCTGTAGGGAAACGGTTTGGAACAACTTCTTCCTCCACACTTCGTGTCTTCTGAAAAAGTTCACGCTCAAACTGAAACAGGTGCCAGTGTGCTATATATTTGTGCAGGCAAGACTGCCTTGGCCTTGCACAAGGACAGTGCCAGGAGATCTGTTTTGAGTCAAAGGTGACCAGAAGTCGTCCAAATCTACTGTAATAGGATAAAGTAGGCTTATAAATGGAAATAAACCTCTTTGTTGAGGGATTGCAAATGGAGAGTTTACAGGACAGAGGTGTTCCTGCATCTGTAGCCCCCCTCTGGCGTTTCAGACATCTCTCCTTCTTGTCCTCTCCAAACCATTTCTCATTCACCATCTTCTGCAGTACATCTTCAGTGAGAGAGAGGTTTTCACCTCTGAATGGTGGACCGTAAACAAGTGACTGGATGCGGTGACACTCAAAAGGTCAGCAATTTGAGCGTTCAGCAAATTCTGCATTGATTTTGTAGATATGCAGCTCACATTTGGTCAACTGTTCCCTCCCCCCCCAAGTCATTTTGACCACGTGGATGGGAGTGTTGGGGCCTAAAAATGACAACCACAGCAAATATTCAATTTTTATGATCTATTGACTCGGATTTCAAATTCTTACTTGCTGTGATGTCTACTCCTTTGGAAGTGTTTATGTTTTCTCTGATGTGCAGTCTCACATTTCTCCTGTTTGTTGTCATAGCACAATGTGAACACCCATCCATCCATCCATCCATTATCAATACGTCTTATTCCCTGATGGGGTCGCGGGGGGAACTGGAGCCTATCCCAGTGGTCAACGGGCGAGAGGCAGGTTACACCCTGGACAGTCCGCCAGTCGATCGCAGGGCCACATACAGGACATACAAGGACGATTTTTTTCTTCCTCCTTGTGTGGTGGTGCACTGGAGGGCACAAGGGAAGCGGCAGGAGATACTAGAGCGCTGGTGGCTGCAACACTTGAGGCCAAATGAAGGGGAGCCTAAAGACACCCCCCCCCCCCCCCCCAACTGTGTTTTTGCCTAAAAACACAGTCAATGAGGGGTCGGTGCTTTTGCTTATGCCTTGGTCGTTCCAGTCTGATGTCTGGATACAAACCTGGCGCTAATGCCCAGACCATGCACCTCAATCAACAGCTGGAAACCGGCCTCAGCTGCCTGGTCTCCCAGAATCCGGCATCATGGAGCACCCACCTGGTCTGGGTGGAATTTAGACACAACTACTTGCCTTCTGTCCCCCTTCCATGTTTTTGGCTAAAAACACAGTTGGTGAGGAGTCGATACCATCTGCTCACGCCTTGGTTCATCGGTATCGCCGCATCTGGGCTGCCACATCCTCGCTTTGTTGGGCCCTTCCCCATATCCAGTGTCATCAGTCCATCTGCTGTTCATCTCCGTTTGCCAAAGTCACTTTGGGTCCATCCTACAGTCATGGCCAAAAGTATTGAGAATGACACAAATATTATATTTACACATGATCTGCTGCCCTCTGGTTTTCATGTGTGTATGTCAGATGTTGTCATCACATACAGAAATACAATCAATGCTTGAATTTTGTCAGAATTCCTAGGTTTTCATTTTTCCACCCATCTCTTGATGATTGACCATTAGTTTTCAATGGGATTAAGATCAGGGGAGTTTCCAGGCCATGGACCCAAAATCTCTATGTTTTGTTCCTTAAGCCAGTTAGATATCACCTTTGCTTTATGGCAAAGTGCTCCATCATGCTGGAAAAGGCATTGTTCATCACCAAACTGCTCTTGGACGGTTAGGAGAAGTTGCTGTCGGAGGACATTCTGGTTCCATTCTTTATTCATGGCTGTGTTATTAGGTAATACTGTGAGAGAGCAAACTCCCTTGGCTGAGAAGCAACTCCACACATGAATGGTTTCAGGATGCTTTACAGTTGGCATGAGACAAGACTGGTGGTAGCGCTCACCTCATCTTCTCCAAACAAGCCATTTTCCAGATGTCCCAAACAACTGGAAAGGGGATTCATCAGAGAAAATGACTTTACCCCAGTCCTCAGCAGTCCGCCCCCTGTACCTTTTGCAGAATATCAGTCTGTCCCTGAGGCTTTTCCTGGAGAGAAGTGGCTTCTTTGCTGCCCTCCTTGAGGCCAGGCCTTGCTCCAAGAGTCTCGGCCTCACAGTGCGTGCAGATGCACTCACACCTGCCTGCTGCCATTCCTGAGCTAGCTCTGCACTTCTGCTAGCCAATCCAGCAGATCAAACACTTTTAAGAGACGGTCCTGGCGCTTGCTGGTCTTTCTTGGGCGCCCTGGAGCCTTATTGGCAACAATGACGTTGAAATGTGTTTTTGGGGATAAAGTTAATTTTCTAGGCAAATATTGACTTTGCAATTAATTGCTGTCATGCTGAACACTGTTTTTAACATCCTGGAGTATATGCAAATTGCCGTTATAAAAACTGAAGCAGTAGACTTTGTAAATATTTACATTTGAATCATTCTCAAAACTTTTGGCCATGACTGTACATTCCATGTCAGCCAGGTCAAGCCTACCAAGAACAGTTCTATGGTTCCCCTCGTCAAGCTGCCACCACCGCTGGAAGCAGCCGATGTTGGTACCTTACACCTTTACCAAAAACATCCTGACCTCCCTGGACCATCTGGATTTGGTCCTAGTGTTCTGTCATGCAGTGGGGATTTCTGTTGGGTTTGGTCCACTTCATATTGTCATTTGGCTCCTCAATTCCTGTTTTAATTTAAAATTCTAACTCTCCTCTTGTTTCAGGTCATTTCAGGTCATTACCCTTCCTCACGTACCACCAGTTTTGTTTCCCTTTTCCCCTCATGTGTGTATATATAGTACGCACCACCCTTTGTCCTGTGCGAGTGCGTTCGCTACCTCTGTCTAAGTTCATATTTATTCTTCATAATCCTTGCCTGTAAATCATGGTCTAGTTTTGATTGAGTGTTCCAAGAGAGTTTTGTTTTAAGTTTCATAGCCTTGGTGAATTTTCATAGCACTTTGTTTTCCTCCATCAGTGGAGAGAAGTTTGTTTTAACCTTTGTTCTTCTGTTTTATGGAGTGATTATTATTTTTTACTTGGCTTTCATAACTTATATTCCTCCGCTTAGCAGAGCCATCTTTTCTTAGTAAATGATTTTTCATAGACCTGTTTTGCCTCAGTTAAAGGATTGATTAATATTTCTGTAACATGTAACATTTTAAGCCTCCTGCGCCTTTTGGAGCAACTTTTGTCTGTGGATAATTTCATACCCTTGTTGCCTGTTGCTGAAGAACAGCTTGTAAGAACAATAACTCTTCATAGCTTGTTGATTTGGTCTTCTTTGGAGACTTTATCAATAAAGACAATCATTTACTTGATTCCTGCTCCTGTGTGCTGCTGGTTCGTGACAGTATTTATTAAAGCTTCTCCTTAACTCAGTGTCTGCTACATTTGGTCCATTTGCATACAGGCTCACTCAAGCCATGATTCCTACTTTCTGCATTATGTGAAACTATCTGCCAGGTTCATATTAAAAGTGCATTTTCAAGTCTAAGATTAATTAAAAACCACCTTTTTCTTTGTAATTTGTCCAATGCTCTAACACCCTGTAAAGTTGTCCAAATTTTGAGTGCACAACTATTTTTAATGCTGATTTTCAAGTTCAGTTTTACCCAGTGTGACCAGACCCATTATGTATAAAACACTTAGGTCTAAATGTATATTGAAAATATGGTTAGGAATGGAAAACTCCTTGGCTCGGCTCAAATACAACAGTCCTTTAGTTATGTTTGCAACTTACAATTGCCGAACACATTTGGGGGGGACGTGAAATTCAATATCAGGAATACCTCAAACCATTTGGAGCAAGGGTGGGCAACTCTGGGCCCCCAGGGCAGCTGTCCTGCAGGTTTAAGATGTTTCACTGCTTCTGCACACCTGATTAAGATCAAAATGGATCTCTTCTAAATATTTTTAAGCTCTCCACAGGATTGCTGATTTTATGTCGATGTGAGTAGCCCATCACTGATCTGGAGTGATCAAAAATCAGAACTGTCACCCTGTTTCTTAAAAAGCAACAAATATATACCCTAAGTACATAATTAGATGATGAATGATTTTACCTTGAAAATTCTGGGTCTATTATTGAGACAAGCTCTTGGACATATAATTAAATTAGACAGGTGAGACCTGGCTCATATACAACACTGTAGGTATGAGGAAGATCCTCCAAGTTGCATATTCCTATTTATATAAAAGCTGGTCACTCTTCTTTATCTTACTCTCTCACACTCTAACATTTGTTTAGGCCAATTTTAGGTTTTCGAAATATCTTAGACACTTCCCCCTTAATGTATTTTTTCCTCTTTCGAAAGGAGTCTTTAAGTAGATACAGTATGTTGCTATTATGTGGAGAAAAGTCAATCACTTTAAATGTCTTTTAATGAGCTATTTAACCCGAATTAATGAATAATTTACACGACATCCTGTTAACGGCAGGATATCGAAAAGCACCGTTTTAGAATAAATGGCCAAAAACAAGGCAGATCACTGGTCATTATTCCTCCCACCGTCGTCCACACGACCCCCTCATTCAGCCTCATCATCTCTCCATCCTCCCCAGATGTACCACTGCGTGAAGCGTGGGGCGCGTGGACGATCACGACGTGCCTACATCTAAATGTTAACCGATATGGACTTGTGATTCACTCGGAAGGAGGAGCCTGTTTGCGCTCCGCTCGGAGGAGAGGCTGCGGGTTGGTCCTTTTGTCAGTTGTTTCCTCTCCCCTATAAGCCACAATCCTCGGTCCTGTCGTGAATGCGCACCGGGGAGGAGGACGGAATAATGGAGCGGATGGAGTCGATGGAGCCCATTTCGGCTTACTATACCACGGCTTACCCAGAGATCCAACCCGACAGCGGCTATGGATCCAGAGAGACCACCGAGAACGCAGCCAAGACCCCACCACCTCCGGCATATGATGAGGAATTGGTACACAAGGTACGATTATTATGGTTACTTTTGCATTTTTAAACAAACTTTTGAACAGTTTATATACAGTATATCTATATATATAGTGAACTCGTGTTCTTGGAGCTCTCCGTGGTGCTGATCGACACGCAGTTTCAGGAGTTGACGAGCTTCCAGTTTTACTGCGCATCAGATGTGTCCAAAACACATCCCCCTTCCTGAGCCCTGCTGCTCCAAAAAGCTGGAATTCTCAAAGCAATTCTTCGTACCAAGATCAATCACATATAAAGACAACTGCAAAATCATTAAACAATTAAACAACGTGAAATGACGCAGACTTTCTGAAGTGCAATATGTTTTTCACGGGAACTAACCTGGATTGAAATACTAATAATGTACAGTAAATCTGTTGAGATGAAAAATAATCCCACGGACTCTTACAAACACCTTTTTTTCCCTTCTGGATGACCCTTGATTTCGCTGTGGATGGAGCACAGATAAAAGAGAACTTCCCCTAAGGCTTTACTTAAATGTCACATCAAATTAAGAATAGTTGCAGGAACAGCTTCCAGTTCAATCCCCTAGAGCTTGAACTTGTTTTTTTTCCAAAGAATTACATACCACGGTCTTCACTCTACTATGTCCTTCTTCTACTTTAGATATCAGAAAGATAAATGTAACAGCTTACAGATAATGACTATTCTTGTACTTTTAAAATACTATTTCTAAGAAGCCATTATAACCATCAGGGTAGATAATTCCTATAATTGTTCTGATTCTGGTATAGAGTGAGTTGTCACAAAAGCCAGCAGTCAGATAAACCCTTAACTGATCTAATTTGAATACATGCACTTTAGCTAAATGCCTCTAATGTTCTTGGAAGTTTTACAGAATATGTTACACTGTTTCTTTTTGCATGCCTGTGTTTAATGTTTTTTTCTTTTAACCCTGCATTTGTAATTTCAAAAGCAAAGATCTCATCTTACAAAACCATAAACTTTACATGTTTTTCATCATCAAAAGGTTGGACTTCGGATAACAGTTCTATCTAAATATTCAGTTGGGATAGATTTAGTCAATGATGGAACCCCATAACGAACTGAAGTTATGCATTTGTGATATTCATTTCATGATATTGTAGATCTGTGAAACAGGGACACTGTGGAGACTTGAGTCAGCACTGAAACTGAGCCTCAATAACACAAATCTATTTAAGGGAGCAGAATGTGGTAGATTTGTTACCTCATTATAAGAGGTTACCCTTCACTACAAAAAAGTAATTTCCAATTTCGAGATGGAGAATAACAAAAACAAAACTGTTTACGGTGGGAGCTCCTTTAGCTGATATAATTAGAAATGTATGATGAGCGCAGCTTTGTGTCATATTTGCTTTTCTGTTTTTCAAGTCAGATTAGGAACTTAAATTGGAAGCAGTAAAGAGTAAAACATAATTTACCTCTGGTAAAGGGTTGTCATAGGGAGTGAATGACTTCAAGAAGTGAGTGAGTGTGGTGTAGAATGCCTTGAAGTTCCAAATGGGGACAAATAAATTTTTTCCATAATGGCCCATATTGTATTTTGTTTGAGGTCATACTGTAAATGGACTTATGTCATTTTTGTTGGACTCTAAGTTACAGGCATAATGGTTTAGAAGACAGACAGAACTTTACAATCTTTTTATTTGTCTGTAAATCCATACATTACCCAGATTTCTACCATAAGGGGAGAGTCTGCTTTCCAAATAGCCAAGTCGTGCAAACGCAAGCTGTTCTTTCTTTTGAATAAATAAGGAAAAAAAACACAAGTGAAATTCATGAACACATTCAAGAGTTGAGCTTTTCTTCTTATTAGTCTTCTTGTCTTGGTAGCGTATGTTTCTCTGGGGGCTGTACCCTTTCACTCCACCTCACAATGATTCCCCGAGGAGACATGATTACATAACAAACAGGAGGATGGTTTTAAAGTGTTTCTTGGTTAGACAACAGGAGGGCAAAATCCCCATCACTTTATGAATTAAGCTGAGCTTTTATTTGCTTTTTATTCTACTTTCAGTTGTATTTGTGATATAAAGCTGGATGTATTTGGTGTGGCAGAAAACACATATATGAGTTTTGCATGAGGAAAGCGTTTCATTATACGGTTGACTTACTGTGCTTGATGCAAAGTCATGATGTGGTAATAGTTCATACCAATTCACAAAAATGGTCAAAAGCAGTATCATAAGATGAAACATGAGAATTTACAACCTTAAAAAATGCCAACGCTTCCTAATAGTTTGTCAATTTTTCCAGAAGCACCCTCCTTTTGCGTTCCGAACTAAAACAATTAGCTTCCTCCTTGTTGAAAGTGAAGAAGGGAAATTAACTAGAACTTAACGACGGTCTTGTGAACTCTGAACAATCTTCTATAGCGTCATTATGTAATTCCCGAACATCTGTTTAGATTTCGCCTAATTGCTTTCAGTCTCCAGAGGGGTTTGACAAGAGAGAGCCTCATTTCCCAGTTAACATTTGTTACCACAGAGACAGTGCATAGCCTTGTCAAACCATAAGCATACACACTCATCCTCACATATATTATATACATACACATGTTTAACAGTGCACATGAAGGGGTGGTGATACAAGCTCTCAGTGATAGTCATGGAAAAAGAAGCAAATTAATTCAGTATGATCACGGTAAAAATGTTTGATTCCCTTTTCGTTCAGATCACCATTCTTGGTTTAGATTGTTTGATTTTTTTAATCAGCTTAAGACTGTTTATTTATCCATTTTATCGAGATATTCCCGTTCTAGACATATAGAATTGTTGGGGTAGCTGAAACTATTTTAAGTGAAGAAACTGGTGCTAAAACCGAATGCGCCATACTCATCATATATTTCCCTAATTTCAACAATTAAACTATGATCCCCATTTACACCAGTGAGCATTGCGGACCAAAATGTCATTGGGTCATAAGGTGGGAAAAGTGTTTCATCCAGTTGGGTCCACGACACCTCCAGAAGTTTAGACAGTGGTCAATGGCGCGAGGGGGAAAGGGAGTCAACCCTGGTTTGGGTAGGAGGTTATGAAATTATACAAGATGCAGGAGGTGGAAGCAAAACAAAACACACTAGCGGACTCAAACTCATCCAGACAGCAAACAAAACACCTAAAAATCAACTAAACTCTACTAAAGGCCTGGTACATACTAAACAGTCCTATAGTCATTAAGAATGTCCTCAACTACGAGGACACACACAAGGCAACTCACCTAAGATGGCTTCCTGGTTCCAGAAGGGCTCATTCATGCTCAAGCTCCCCATGTTGGGACCCCAGCAACCATTGCTTTGTCTGATCCAAACTGACCGCTGACTGGACCTCACTGCCTCATCTGACATGTCCTTTACTATATCCCTCAAACTCTGTCCAATTAAACCCAACTTCCTTAACAATGAGAAAGCAGATTTTAAACAAAGACTCTACATCAGGGGTGCTCACCCTTTTTCAGCATGGGAGCTACTTTTGAAATGACCAAGTCAAAATGATCTACCCATTATATTTATTGAGAAATATATTAAGGATTCTTACAACTTATGTTGATGTATAACCACATATGTGGGACAACACAGCATAATTATGTACATTTTACTTGGTTACATATTACTTGGTCCAGCTCCCCCACTCATTTTCATTTTAAGAGGAAAAAACCCAGCGAAAAATTAGGATGTAACTACCAACTAGCTTGTTAGCTTTGCTAATTGACCTAATTGTACGGCAAAAATCAGATGTCATCTGACTGGTTGTCCTGTGTATCAATCAAGTGACGGGATGGCTGATAGGCTGACGTCTAGTTTTTATTCAAAACAACTCATGACAATGTCACCTCCCCTTGTCATGCGATCTACCGATAGCCTTTTCCTTTCATGTGCTTCTTCTACTAAGTTCTCCAGAGGAACAATCCGTTCTATGAAATAGACTCTCATTTTACTCCTAGACCATGAGACTACACCAGGCTTTGTATTTGTAGAGTCTATTTCCTGGGGAGCAACAAGCTTTCATCCTAAATCTACCAGCTTCTCCTAATCACAAGCATCCTCTAAGCTTCCCTGCCTACTTATTGTCTTTTAAACTTTCTTTCCCTCTTGAACAAACTGAAATGCTGCTCTCTTTGCCTTAGACCCTCCTGAATGAAACTTACTCCACTTGTCTTCAGTACCTGTAGCTAAGCTTCTTAATACATTGCTTTTGCCTTGTGACAGGTTAACTCTACAGTTTGACTAATTGTGCCTTAGAGTTGCCTTACCCTGAGTTTCAGGTTCTGAGGAGATGGCAACTTATCATATGTTGCCCCTATCAAAAATCTGCTTAACTCCATTCTCCACATTTCTTTTCTTACTTGCATTTCACATTTTTCTTTTCAAGACCTTCCCAATTCACCCACTGTCCCTGCTTAGCCTGAGACACTGCCTTTGAACCTCTCAACATATCCATTTGCCCACAAACCTGCCCAACAACCAGCTTTCTCTTCTCTTTGGGGCCTGCTATACACCACATCGGTTTGCTGGACTGAGTACCAAGCTGCAAAACTATTTTTTAATGTTACCCTCAACTTTTGTGTGCCTAAGATTTGCTTTGTTTCCTGAACTGCCATTCTTGGATTCTACTTTCTTCCCCTAGTTGGGTTTGGAACCATCTCACCATTTACAGCCGCTTTCCTCCCAGCGAACAGGACCACTCTTAATACAAATACAACTAATCTACCAGATTAGATACTGGGAGTTGGAGTAACCCTTTTCCATACAATGCCACAGTACTTACACAAATGGGAACACCTAGTCACTTCCTTATGAAAGAGCTAACTATCCTTTCCATTTTCTCTGCAGCTATAATGGAATTTCATACAAAAACAGTGGCCACATCAACCTAGGAAACTATTTAAATTGCAGACCTCACAGGTTGAACTTCCTTGAAAGGCTCATATATTTAATCTATCCAATCCCCCAGCAACATTTTCCTGAAACAGCTCTACCTGCTTTCTATCATGGAATTCTTTCTACATCTATCAAAAACATTCTACCAGTTGATTTCAATTGACTTATTTAGATGCTTCTGGACTTACTAGGCTGGGTTTTCATACCAGCCCACTCTAGATTTTTATTAAGTCTCTCAAGTGTTCCCTTCATACATGGAACTGTGGTAGTCATATCATCCATGTAAGCTCTAATTTTTGTAAGGCATATGTGTCATACTGTGTGATCTTCTGCCCCTGGTCTTGGCGATCCTATATGTTTTCTCGTTAGTTTAGTTCTGCTTCGCTACTGGCACTGTGGAATGCCACAATGCCACTTTTGGGGTCTTTGCCTCCTGTAAAAGGATTAATTAATTCAACAATTAAAGTATTACCCCTATTTGGGCAAGTGAGCAGTGCTGACCAACATAGTATTGGGGTATAAAGTAGTAATGGGAATACTTTGAATATTAAATAAAATCCCACTAGAGATTTTTTTTTTAAATTCATAAATCAACATTGGATTCATCAACTCACTAACAAAAACTTACACTGTACCCATGTGTTTAAATCACTGCTTTGACTTGTGTGTCTGTGTTTAAGTTAGTTGTATTCTTATTTATACCTCTTGAATTAAGCACACAACACTTTTTACACTTTTTACAAAGGTCAATATACCTCACTTGGTCTGGTTGGTTTTCCTTGAAACACACATTGCTCATCATTTTTGTACAATTCAGCTTTTTCTCAGTGCATTTCAAAGGCTAAAGTCAGTCTTTTGGTGATTTATGAATAAATTTGATTTAGAAATTCACTGGGTAACTATGAAGTAGCGTACATATTTGATCCACCACTGAATATCAACACTATTCTAAAGCTCCACTAAATGCAGAGATTAAAGGGCAATGAAAGGGAAAAGCTCACTTCACAGCTCTGATTCATTCCATTCTGACTTTATGTATTTTCATGAATATATTTGAATTTTTCTTTTTCAAGCATAGCAGTGATGTTCATGAATAATTATGTTTGCTTAACTGTAAGTTTAATAGGTTGCTCATAAACTAATGTACATAAATCAGTTTCAGCCGAGTATGTATCTATCTATCTATCTATCTATCTATCTATCTATCTATCTATCTATCTATCTATCTATCTATCTATCTAT